GTCATTTTGACACATGCATGTGAAATAGAAGTTTGATCCTTTTACTGAGTGGTTCAGGAGCCTCCAAACATCATGAAGATTTGCCTAATTGGAAAAGGAGGAAGACTGGGGGAGAAAACCAGAATGGTCTTGGCCATTCCCCTGTGAACTGCTTGGCCACCAAGGAGTGGTTCTGTTCTCTCTTGGGCAAGGGATCCTTCCATGAAGCAGCAGGTTTGTAGTTTTCACTCCTGAGAGGAGCAACGCTGATATGGTTATATATTTAATGGGAAAGCAGTTACCAAATTCAGTGACATATTTCCAGCTGAATTCATCTCCAGTAAATTCAGCCACCCGCTCTCTTTCTCTTCTCTTCTGGGATTATGCATGATGTGCAAACAACAGGCAAAGGCTGGTCTGTCAGGGAGCTTTGAGTGTTTCCCCAGAGGAACCACAAGCAACAGCTCAACAAGTTTATTCTGTGGAAAAGTGATAACATCAGTGCAAGGTGAGTGTTACTGGCAAAAGAGTTTGTCCCCAAAGTTTCATCTGAGACAACAAGCCACAGTGAAACCTCTGATATCCAAAGGTTACTACTTTCCTCATTCATGCCCAACTGTTTCTCTACAAAAGGGTAACAGGCTGTCCTGGCTGGGTTTGACCCCTGTTTCTGAGACATTCACAAGATGACTTCCTGGACAGCTGAGAGCTGCCATCAGAGCAGCCAAGGTATAAATACAGTGGTACCTCAGGTTACAAACGCTTCAGGTTACAGACTCCGCTAACCTGGAAGTAACTCGGGTTAAGAACTTTACTTCAGGATGAGAACAGAAATTGTGTGGCGGCAGCGCGGCGGCAGTGGGAGGCCACATTAGCTAAAGCGGTACCTCAGGTTAAGAACACTTTCAGGTTAAGAACAGACCTCTGGAACAAATTAAGTTCTTAACCAGAGGTACCACTGTACTGTATATTCCTTCCCTGCTGAAAAAATAAGGACTGAGGCCTGTAATACAGTGAGGTTGGAATGAGGAGCTATAGTCTCTCCTCAGGACTAGGTAAAAAAGTAATGGATCCATGGAAGTCCAGTCAAAGGCGACTATGGGATTGTGGCGCTCATCTTGCTTTCAGGTCAAGGGAGCCGGCGTTTGTTCACAGAAAGCTTTCCGGATTGTGGCCAGCATGATTAAACTGCTTCTGGCACAATGAGACACCGTGACAAAAACCAGAGCGCATGGAAACGCTGTTTACCTTCCTGCTGCAGCGGTACCTAATTATCTACTTGCACTGGTGTGCTTTTGAACTGCTAGGTTGACAAGAGCTGGGACAGAGCAAAGGGAGTTCACCCCATCGCGGGGATTTGAACTGCCGACCTTCTGATCGGCAAGCCCAGTGGTTTAGACAAACAGTGCCACCTGCATCCTCATAACTATATCACTTCAGATGGGGAATAGCAACTTTGAATGTTCTCCTGCATTAAACACCTCATCTACCCACACTTGTAAGCAGCCAGTGTGGCACAGCAGTTAGAGCGTTGGACTAGGACCTGAGAGGCTAGGGTTAAAATCCCCACTCAGCCACAAAGCTCTTTGAATTTGGTCAGTCAACCAGCTACAAATTTACCAAAGGGTAATATCATCTAGACCACATTTTACCAGATTCTCCACGAGAATATCATGGGGAACTTTGTTGAAAGCCATACTGAAATCAAGATACATTACATCCACAGCAAACCCCTGATTCACTAAGCTTGCAACCCTATCAGAAAAAGAAATCATTAGTCTGGTATGACTTGGTCTTGAAAAACCCATGCTGGCTCTTAATGATTGCAGCATCCTTTTCTAAGTGCTCGCAGACGGACTGTTTAATAATCTGTTCTACAATGTTTCCTGGTATCATTGTCAAATGGACCAGTCAGGAGTGGCCTGAGTCCTCTTTTTCTCCTTCTCGAAGGGGACAGCATTTGCCCAACTCCAATCTGCAGGAAGCTCAGCTGTTTGCCAAGAATTCTCAAAGATTATAGTCAGAGGCTCAGAGATTACATCTGCAAGCTCCCTTAGTACCCTTGGGTGCAACTCATCAGGCCATGGAGATTTGAATTTGAATTCTTTCATCATTTTTTCTATTATCACCAGGCTGGAGACTGTTTTCCTTTTGGGCAAAGTAGGTGTTGAGCAGTTCCACCTTTTCGCTGTCACCTAATAGCATTTCCCCACACTTTCCACACAGCAGACTTATTATTTGCTTGTTCTTCCTGTTGCTTTGAACATAGCAAAAAAAAGCACACCCCACCATTTTTCTTATTTTTAATCTCTCTTGCAAGCCTGAGCTCATTCTCAGCTTTGGCCTCCCTCACCTTCTCCACGCAAGTGTTGGCTTCCTTCGTGATTTGTTCCTTCTTGCATTTCTATAAATGCTCCTTTTAAATCTCAGGTTTTCCTGTCCCCAAACTTAAAATCAGTTTGCTACATTTCCACGTTCGGGTTGTGTTTTTTTAAGTCCTCACAAAAACTGCCTGGTGTTTGAGTTCACATTTCTCTTTATGTACACATTTTTTTAAAATACACTTTTGTGTAATATACACATTTTTGAAAGCATTTGTCCCTAATATAGTGCGTTTTTGTATGTCGTTTTCACTCGTATGAGTTTTTATGTACACTTTCCCCTCACATACACGTTTCTGCATGCATTTTGGGGGGTTAGACTGCATCGCAAATGCAGAGAAGCTTGAATTCCGAAGGACGTTTGTGTTCAGTACACATATTGTTTCAGGAAGTGTGAAAATGAATTTGTCTCCCATCCCTTTTTAAAATATATATATAATATTTAAACAGCTGCCACAGGACTGTCAATGCAGAACTGTGATTGCAGTGCACAGGAAGGGGTTTTTTTTAACACCCTCCCCCTGCTGTGGTCCTGAGGAAACTTCTGGACCCCTCCTCCTGGCAGGTAAGGAGTTTTTCTAGGCTTCTTTCTCGCCACTGTAAGAACAGGATGCTGGACTAGATGGCCAGATCCCGCAGGCTCTTCTTAAATTCTTATGAGGGATTCCTTCATTGTGGAGCCAATGGGAACTTCAGAGAGGGAATTTTTGTCTGGAATATGACAATGAGGACAAGGTTAGCCCCTTCCTCATGTACAACCGTCTCTGGTTCTTCTTGGGATGGGAGGGTGCCCACATCAGCTTTCTATTTAAAGAACAAAAACCATGCCTGTGAATTACCTGCACGTAAACTGCACCATGTTTGGTTCGTCCCTGAGTTTCACGGTCAGAACCTGTACCTTGGTTAAAGTGGTACGAAGCTTCCCGTCATTAGTCTCCAAGCCCAGCAGCTTTTCACAGCTTCTGCCTTTCAGGCGACTCTTTCCTACATTGACTCATCTGCCGCTGAGCTCCTCCAGCACGTTGCAAATGATGCTGGAGCATATTATAGAAAACACAGTTCATTCAGGGCACCAGGCGCATGGGGAATTTTGCAGTGGCTTCACATTAACCGAGCGAGCGAGTAGCAAAGAGCACACCTAACATACCCATGAAGATATCACAGGAGACTCTTCTGTGGCAGTGAGCAAACTACTATCTAGGGAAGCTCATTTGCCATTCCTTTGCCTTGTTGACAACCTCCTGAGAAGCTTCCAAGGAACTCCAGAGCAGTGCTGGCTTGTGAGGGACCTGTGTGGCAGAGGTAGTGGGGTTCTCTCAGCAGCAGCTGTAGAGCTGTTTTTCATTGGGATGAGGATGGAGCAAGATGATGGAGGCAAGGTTTGGAGAGGTCCCAGGTGGGTGGCGCTGTGGTCTAAACCACTGAGCATAGGGCTTGCTGATCAGAAGGTCGGCAGTTCGAATCCCCGTGACAGGGTGAGCTCCCATTGTTCGGTCCCAGCTCCTGCCAACCTAGCAGTTCCAAAGCACACCAGTGCAAGTAGATAAATAGGTACCGCTCCGGCGGGAAGGTAAACGGCATTTCCGTGCGCTGCTCTGGTTCGCCAGAAGAGGCTTAGTCATGCTGGCCACATGACCTGGAAGCTGTACGCCGGCTCCCTCGGCCAGTAAAGCGAGATGAGCGCCGCAACCCCAGAGTCGTCCACGACTGGACTTAACGGTCAGGGGTACCTTTACAGGACTTTTGCCACCCCTGCGCCCAGGTGCCAATGAAGGATACAACATTACTGAGACACAGTATTAAAGACTCTGCTGGATGCCCCCAAGTTTATTGCCTTAAGATTCTTGCAGGGCCCAGCTCTGTTCTCTGCGTGCCTTTTTCAGTCTCATGTTAGAACTGCAGACTTTTCCACACAGACACCTGGTTTGCAACATTCTTTAGCACTAGGGAGAGGGATCCCATTCAGATACTGTGCTTGCTGGCCATTAATCTCTCCTGATCATCTCTGGGTAACATACCTGCTACCATCCTGTTGCCATTGGAGTTTGATTCCACTCTGGTAAAGTTAGCCAATCCAGTAACACACCAAGAAGAAACACAGCTTCAGCAGTCATGTCCATTTCAGAACTAACAGCAAGAAACTCGCCATCTGAAGCTGCATTAAGCTACACCTGGTCATTGGTCCATTGTTGTCTGTTCTGACTGACAGGCAGTAACTCTCTAGGGTCTCAGAAATAGGCCTTTATCAGCCTGAATACCTGAGATACTCTGACTGGAGACACCAAGCACTTAACCTGAGATGTTTATCCTGCCAAGCGTATCCTCTTGTTATGGGCTGTCTTACCTGTGTGTTCTGGGGTACTGTGTGTGTGCTCCTGTCACCGGTATCAAGCCAAAGTAAGCGGCCTTTTGTCTATAAGCAAATCAAAGGAAAATATCAGGCTAGCAAACACCTCCCTAGATGCTCTGTGGAAATGCCTCACAATATTTCAAAGCAGCCAGTAGATGGCAGAAGAGACCTACTGATCCATGCAGTCGGCAGAACAGTTTACAATCACTTCAAACCTGTGCATTCCAGCTTTTCCAGATAATGCAGTTTCCCCAGCATATTCTCTCACACCGCGGTCATATATCCCAACCCACTGCAATGTAGGAATCTTTCACTCGAACCCATAACTCTGAGATTAAGAGTCTCATGCTCTATCAGCTGAGCTATCCCTCAGCCTAAATGATCAGGGCCATGTTGCCCCAGTATGCTGCAGCAATGTCTCTTAAACTGGAAGAAGCAGTTGTCAGACAAGGACTTGGGAGACCAGGGTTCGAATCCCCGCATGGCCATGAAGCTCAGTGGATGACCTTGGGCCAGCCACTGCCTCTTAGGCTAGCCTACCTCACAGGGCTGTTGTGGGGATTGAATGAGGAGGGGGAGAACCATGTACACAGCCCTGAGCTCCTTTGGAGGAAAAGGTGGGCTAGAAATGCAGTCAATATTAAATCAATGAGATTGTCTCATCTGTTTTTCTGTTTGGAATGGTTGGTGCTCAAGTCAGCCTCACAAATCCTTTTCCTGAAAGCAAGGTTAGATCTTGGCATGGGTACCATTTTGTGCCTAGTGATCCAGCTGCCTGCGGAGATCATCTGTTAGGGCGACCAGAGCCGTCTCGGTCCCATGACGAGCGCAGAAGCCGGACTGGAATGGATCCAAAGAGTTGCTGCTGGCCTGTGAACAGATTCTCTCATTTGTTTCCAGTGGTTCACACAGTGCTTAAAATGCTTCACTTCAGTTTCCTCAGCATAGTGGGGCTCTTTTAATCTTTCGGCAGAGTTTCCTCTAATTATTGCTACCCTCGTAGGTTGCTGATTCTCTACAATGGTTCACTTGCTGTCTTCACTTTTGTGCTTGTCTCCCTTTTAAAAAAAAAGTACATTAAGAAAACACTAATACCGCCCTGAAACCTCCAGGTAAAGGGCGGTATATATGTAATAATGATAATGATGATGATAATAATAAAATAATAATGATAATAATAATGATAATAATAATAATAATAATAAATGTTAAAATGGATATAACTCTCCTGGATGAGTGTCAGGTTCATTATATCAGCTATATTCCACCATGACCCTATCACATTTGCAACATTGCTGATTTTCCACCTTGCCGCAATTTCCATTCTATCCAAGGTCAAAATATTTACAATCAGCTGCAGATCATCATATATTATATAGATCAGGGATGAGGAGCCTGTGGCACTTCAGATTTTGTTGAACTGAAAATCCCATCCTCTGTGTTTGCCATGATGGGTCTTGGGAGTTCAACAACCTCCTGAGGACCACAGATTCCCTGCCACTGATGTAAATTATCCTCCTAAATCAAAGCTTGGAATCTTGTTTTCTCATTCCTTTGGTCTAAAGCAAGAATAATTTGTCCTGTTATGGGTCTGCTAAGTTAAGCAGGAGAAGCAATCCTCCACTAGTTCGTTACTGGAGTAAAGGTCCATTGGATGGTATTCAATTAAGTTTTACTCCGAGTAAATACACTGAAATTGATGGTGCTAACTTAAGTCATGTTCATTAATGTCTTCTCTGAGTTTTGCCACATGATTTACCAGAATGGCATCTTACTTTTACTTCTTTTATAGTGGGGTGAAATTAGAAGGGAGGGAATGCCTTGAGTCTGGTGCTTCAAAGAGTACTTGAGCTCTGTCACCGTTCTCTCCCGAGGATCACTCAATTTATGCAACCATTGCCCTTGGGTGAACCAGGAAGCAAATCCGGCTTAGCAAATCGACGGTCATTGGGTGTCTTTCTGGATGTGCACCACTAGAGGGCAGTAGGAACATTTGAAACCGCAGCTATCACTGGCTATGCTTGAGAATTTAAGTATGTCAGGCTTGCTTTCTGGTAACCAAGCAATTCAATAGGGAAGGATAAGGATTTCCTGGAATATGTGCCCTGCCAGTCAAGTTAGGCAATTCAGCATCTCTTAAATGTTTACTTGATACATTTTATATTCTGGGAGTCATAATCCTGACATTTATACGGAAATTATTAGAGTCATCTACTTAGACTGAGATACAAAAAAGGTAAGATGATATCTGTTGTTTTCTGGAACCAATGTGGCAAAAACTGCTAATACTTATGGTTCAGAAATAAGGCTTCCAGCAGTTTTACTGGTTCTGATCCTGCATTTTTAAGAGCCTTATGACATGCCAAAATTGAGCATGTGATACCTTTTTTGGCCTGGATGTAAAGAGATGGGGAAAAGATTCTCCACAATAACACCTGCATTCTGGGTTGGTATCAAAGGCACAGGAGCATGCCAGGAAAGAAAGAAAAATTAGCAACCTCTGAGATTATGAGTCTTTCTGCTATGAATGGTGGTTGGTTGGCTTATAACCTTTGCATTGTTTTGATTTGCTGGTCTAGTGCTTATTATTTGTGTTTTGGATTGTATAACTGGTTTGATGCATTTTAAAATGCATTTTTAATTTGTATTGTGTACCACCTAAATAATTATACTGATGAATACATATACAGTGGTACCTCTGGTTGCAAATGGGATCCGTTTCGGAGCCCCATTCGCAACATGAGCAGAATGCAACCCACATCTGCGCGTGTGCGGGTCGCGATTTGCCGCTTCTGCGCATGCGCGTGACATCATTTTGAGCGGTGAAACCCGGAAGTAACCCTTTCCGGTACTTCCGGGTCGCCGTGGGACGCAACCAGAAAATGCTCAACCTGAAGCAAACGTAACATGAGGTATGACTGTACTGTATAACACACTGCTAACAAAAAGGCCCCTAAACTGATTACGCATGGGATTAGCACATGGCTCAATGGTAGAGCACATGATTTGTGTATAGATGGCTTCAGATTCAATCCTGGCACCTCCAGTTAAATGGTCAGGCAACAAGCAATGGGAAATTCTTGAGAGCAATGGCCAGTCACAGAATGAACATAGGAAACTGCCTTGTTCTGAGGTCAGCTATTGATCATAGAATAGTTGTAGTGTTGGGAGGCATCCCAGGGGTCATCTAGTCCAACCCCCTCCAATGCAGGAATCTCAGCTAAAGCATCCATGGCAGATGGCCATCCAGCCTCTGCTTAAAAACCTCCAAGGAAGGAAAGGCCAAGAGAGTCTGCTCCACTGTCGAAGAGCTCTTACTGTCAGAATGTTCTTCCTGATGTTTAGTCGGAATCAGTTTCAAAGGAGTCAGCAGGGTAGGGGGAAGGGGGGGCTTTTCAGTCCCATACTTGATTATTGTAACTCACTCTACGTGGGGCTGCCCTTGAGACTGACCCAGAAACTCCAGCGGGTGCAGAATGCCGCAGGGAGACTCCTTACGGGGTCCTCGCCACGGGATCACATTCACCTGGTGCTATACCAGCTGCACTGGCTCCCGGTGGAGTACAGGATCAGGTTCAAGGTGCTAGTTTTAACCTTTAAAGCCCTATGCGGCCTAGAACCCTCATACCTACGGGACCGCCTCTCCTGGTATGTCCCACGGAGGACCTTACGATATTCAAATAAAAACATCTTGGAGGTCCCGGGCCACAGGGAGGTTAGGCTGGCCTCAACCAGAGCCAGGGCTTTTCTGGCCGTGGCCCTGATCTGGTGGAACGCTCTGTCACAAGAGACTAGGGCCCTGCGAGATTTAATATCTTTTCGCAGGGCCTGCAAGACAGAGCTGTTCCACCAGACCTTTGGCCAAGGCACAGTCTGACCCCCTCCTTCGGTAACCCTCACAGAACTCTAGCCCAATGGTTGCCATTAATTTGATTTTGAATTGATTTTAGAATGAGTTGATTTTAGAATGCATTTCAATTAATTGATTGGGATTTTATGTAAATTGTGTTACTTTTATTGTTGTTAGCCTCTCTGAGCCCGGCTTCGGCTGGGGAGGGTGGGATATAAATAAAATTATTATTATTATTATTATTATTATTATTATTATTATTATTATTATACTAAGAGAAACGAAAGCTAAGATAAAGTATTATATCACACACTTTTTAAAGGTTTTTTCACACATGACACTGAAAGCCCTTTTGAGCTTCCTTGTCCTTATTCATGTGGCTATATGAAAGCAGAATAGCAGGCCCAGAAAAGCCCTCTCTGTGCCTTTGATTGCTTCATGACCCCTGGCAATGGCCCATGCTCAGTCTCTCGGCCCCAATTATACAGAGCACTACACCTGATGGGTTTGCGCCTGCCACACAGGACTTAAAGGCACGAGGACTCTGCTTTGTGGTTTGGGGGTGGGGTGGGAGTGACTTCACAACTGCAAAAACAAGACCTCTTGTGGACCAGGGCATGTGACTCCAGGGAAGGCCAGATCTATATGCTTATTGGATGCCAGCAGAATAAGAGGGAGTGGCTTTCTGAAGTTGGTGACTTTGGCCAGCGACTGAACACAGCGAGGGCGAAGTGTTGCCGCCAGCATCCCTTGATGCCCAAACATGTTGTACCCTCTGTAATACTACCAGTGCCTGGAATCGCAGCTATAGTCAGTCACACTAACTAACCAAAAGTAGGGTTGCCAGCTTTTTTTCCTGGAAAGGCTCTTTTACAACAAGCAGAAGAAGAAGAAGAAGAAGGGTTTGGATTTGATATCCCGCTTTATCACTACCCGAAGGAGTCTCAAAGCGGCTAACAATCTCCTTTCCCTTCCTCCCCCACAACAAACACTCTGTGAGGTGAGTGGGGCTGAGAGACTTCAGAGAAGTGTGACTTGCCCAAGGTCACCTGGCAGCTGCATGTGGAGGAGCAGGGAAGCGAACCCGGTTCCCCAGATTACGAGTCCACTGCTCTTAACCGCTACACCACACTGGCTCTCTCAGAAATGCAACAGCCTTTACCCCCACCTTCTGGATCCAGGGAGCATTGCTAAGTGTGGACCATGGGGAATGGTCCCCCAGTCTTTTACTAGCTGGGTAATTCATTCAGGGAAATTTGAATTGGGTGGGTGATCTGGCTAGGATTTCGGAGAAAATAAATCAAGGAGACAGGCTATCTGAAATATCGTGAATGGGGGCAACTGAAAGGGAATTGCATCAAATGTTTTAGCTGAGGCTGATGGGAGTTGTAGTCCAAAACATTTGGCAGACAGCAGGTAGGTGGAGGAGACCCTCTTGCATTTGTTTTCCTCTGTGGCAGTCGTTGAGAGAACACAGTCACCCAGAGACGGTGCTAGTTCTGTCTAATTTAATTTCAGTGGCAAAGACTCATCCCGAGAGCTCGTCCTCCTTCTCTCTGCTTCAGAGCTGCCAGAAAATGAATATTGGGAGCCAAGTTGGTGCTGAGGGCAGCAAGGAGCATCTAACTTAGTGGTTTGCCCACTCATAACACCTGGCACTGTAGCAACTGGCCCGGGCAGGAGAGCAAAAGTGGCAGCACTGGCAGGGGCCCAGTGCAGCTGTTCTTTGCCCTGTGATATGTCTAGCTCTGCTCAGGAACATGCCAGGCCCTGCCCTCTCAGCAGGGGCTGCTAATTGGGAAGGACAGACGCCTCATGCACACAGCGCTTTAGCAGGAATTAGGAGGGCAACAACAGCTATTGTACAACAAGTTTTTTTAAAAAAGTATAGACGGACACAACAACTGGCTTTAATGTTTTCGTTCCTGTTCCAACAGTAGCAAAATTGCCGACAGTTAGGCAGAACAGGGCTTGCTTTGACTGGCAATGGAGGTGCTGAAACCTCTTTTATAGCCATGTGTCCCATTTCACCTTCCAGAGGGACGCAGGTGGCTCTGTGGTCTAAACCACTGAGCCCCTTGCCAATTGGAAGGTCAGCGGTTCGAATCTGCGCGATGGAGTGAGCTCCCGTTGCTTTGTCCCAGCTTCTGCCAACCTAGCAGTTTGAAAGCACACCAGTGCAAGTAGATAAATAGGTACCACTGCAGCGAGAAGGTAAATGGTGTTTCTGTGCGCTCTGGCACTCACCACAGTGTCCCATTGAGCCAGAAGCGGTTTAGTCATGCTGGCCATATGACCCGGAAAGCTGTCTGTGGACAAACACTGGCTCCCTTGGCCTGAAAGCGAGATGAGTGCCACAAACCCATAGTCGCCTTTGACTGGACTTAACCATCCAGGGGTACTTTACCTTTACTTTTACCTTCCAGAGCTTTATTCCAATTACTCTCATTCCAGGAAGTTTAAGCAGCTACTGCAAAAGGCTTGGGCCTTCTCTGCAGGTGCCCCAGAACTGTGGTGTGACCTCCCGCACTTGTTAAACACATGTTAGCCAGGGGGTAGCCAGGGTAGTGCCCAGCAAAGTGTTTATGAAGACCTTACAAAGGGGTCAATAGGCTGTCTGGTTTATTAATTCCAGAGGAATTGCCCTGTTTTGAGTTTCTTGCTGGAATAATGTATGAGTCTCCAGCAGCTTCAAAGACAGACAAATTTATTATGGCATAAGGATGGGGAACCTATGGCCTTCTAGGTGTTGCTGAATCGCATCTCCCATCAACCTGACCATCTATTGTAGGATCTGGGGCTGATGGGAGTTGGGAGTCCAACAAAAGCTGGGGGGCCACTGGTTTCTCATACCTGGGAGTAAGAAAACATTAGACAGTGAGGGCAGATGGAAGTGAAATACAAAAAACAAGTCTGGAACCAGGTTAAAGCTATCTTTCCCCTTTTATATACCTACTAACTGAAAATTGCTACCCAGCTGATGACACAGACTCTAGTTCAAAAAAGCAAGCCTTGTTCCATAGTAAATGTGCAAGTTTCCAGAGGACTACAAGATTCCCTTTTTGACTATTATGAACAGTGGAACACTTGACAATGCAGAAGGCAAAAGGCACTGTGTTGCTTGTGTCCTTCTGGAATTTAACTTGCATTTGGTATGGGTTATATGAATTGTTTTGCTGCCAGTTCCCATGAGTACTGGGAAAGCAGGCTAGAAGTATTTTACATAAAGAAGCATCAGCTTTGCTTCTCACACGATAAAGCAGATTTACACAGGAGGAGGAGGAGAAAGAGCCACATGCACCATCCTGTGTGAAAAATGAAATTAAGGAACTGTTTCTTTTGCCACAATTAACATTCTGGAAGCCACTTCCACACTGCAGACTCCAAACTTGTTTAATTGTAGTAAATGGGTGCCAGTGTGCTTTTCGCATACATGACAAGTGTACACTTTCCTTCCTACCTAGGAAGAAAGTATGACACGTGAGCTGCCCCCCTGTCTGCCTCCGGCTGAAGTGAGTCAAGCAGTCCCCACTCCCATACACAGTCACTTTCAGCTTTCCCTGGATTTAAATACATTTATTTATGCAGGTATAAATATAGGCACAGGTATAGCCAATGTGTAACTCCCATCATCCCTGTCCATTGGGGCTGGTGGGAGTGGATGGGCACTACCCTGGCTACCCCCTGGCTAACATGTGCTTAAGGATGCAACAGCACCACTGAGATATGTAAACAACTGAGACTGACACTGATTTTTCCTTAGTAGCTGGTGTGACTGTGGCCGAAATTCCTCCCTCCTATATCAGAGGGGAGGCATCTGAAGGGAGCACTTGAGACAAAGGGATGGCTGAGAGTGCCAGCTCACTTTTCAGCTCAGCGTTCCTTATCCCTCAAGTGAATGACCCTACTCTTTGTAAGCCTCTAGTTCTTAGTGTCGCCACTGCTGCAAATGAGCTCCACCTGATTAGGGTCAGGCCATTCCGCCACCATCGACCGACTTCACAAAGTATACACAAAACCCTCACGTGCGATAAAACCAACGGGGCAAGATACTGAACAAAGCAGAAGGCATGAAAGGTGGGTAAGTAAAAGTTAACATTTACTGAGAGATACAGGACTGAGTATTATGAAGGAGGACATACATGGATGGACATGGCAGTGGAGCCCATGGGAAGGGCACAGGCCCATTTCCCAGCATGCCGAGGGAAAAGAAGGCCTGTTGCCGAACAAGTAACACAATGGAGATAACTGTGGCATATGTATTTTGTAACAAAGAGACCAGAATAACATACATTTCTATGGGATCACATCTAGTGATTATATAAATCCATATAGAGACTGCTGTATAAAAACAAAACTTTATAAAAATATAAAAAAGTGTAAAAATGTGCATTTTTTAAAAGCATGGCCTGGACAGCTGGGCTGTAAACATTATACTGAGGGTGTGCTTGTGGGGGCGCCTGCGCCACAGTGCCACAGGCAGGCCCAGCGATGAGGCAGGACTTGTGTCAAGTGTTTGCCGTTCTTGGTTTCTTTCTGGGGAGAGCACAGAGGGCTGAGGCAGGGTCCCAAAGGAGCAGAGGCTTGCGCGGCTCAGCCTGCTGCCAGCTTCCTCCTACCCTAGTTCTTACTAGTGTTCAAACCTTGTGTCCATGCTGATTGCCAACCAGAAGCTGTAGGGAGAGGGATGGCAGGGAAGCCACAGCGCTACCTCCCAGCATCCCTACCCGCAACACATTCCAGATTTGAGATGCTCTGCAATGGGTGGGGAGCTGGAAAATCCTCCTCCTCTGCAGCTGCCACGCCCCCTTGTGTTGAGCCTTACAACTGCAGCCACAGCTCCCCCTCTGAGCGTTTCTGTTGTGGCCGTTCTCCTCCATCCCCTCTATTTGGTTGGAGTGTGCAATCCCCAAGGAAGCTCACTGTGTTCTGGTTGCACCCATCTCTGGTGCGCAGTCCTTCGTACAGTACATGGAAGAGAGGCGCTCCAAGGTCCCCGGTTTTTGTCTTTTTTTGCCGCCTACGTTCTTTTGGCCCACCGGGACCCTCTCACTTCTTCTCCAGCTGCTCGAGCAGCGGGTTGGCCTCGTTCTCTGGGGTTTTGACACTGTCTGTCCGCACAATGCAGGTGGGGCGGTGGCGGTTCAGCATCAGGATCAGCTGCTGCCTCTCTTGTTTCAGCTCCTCGATCTGGGCCTTCAGCTCGGCATTCATGAGCTCCAGGCGTTCAGATTCCTAAGCAGGAACCAGAGAAACAAGGGGGGGGGGTTAATTTCTTGACCAATGCATTCAGAAGCCCCAGCATCACCTGACACACACACAACTGTCACATGCAGGGGTCCTCTCCAGCTTCTTTCTGCAGCAACGGGGAGCCGGTAGCCCTGGCAACATTGCTGGACTGCAGTTCCCATCAGCACCAGCCTACATGACCAATGATCACGGGTGAAGGGAGTTGTAGTCCAACAATGATTGCAGGACTGGACTTGTAAAAGGGTATTGGGAAATGATCCATAACGAATTGGGGAAAAATGTTTAAAAGTACTCCCCTCCCCCCCCCAAAAAAAACCCCAGAGTCCTTTTTGTTGGGGATAATTCAGACTGAAATTCCCAAGTGTTAAAAAAGGCTATTTATGTATGCTACAACTGCGGCCCGTGTTTCGTTAGCCCCAAAATGGAAAACAAGCGAGGTCCCAACCAAAGAAGAATGGCAACTTAAGTTGGCAGAATATGCACAACTTGCAGATCTAACATAGAATAAGAGAACAAGAACAACGTACGTTTAAAGAAGATTGGAAAACGTTCATCGAATATATGGGAATTAATTGTGTACAGTGAAAAATGCTGGCAGCATTAAGATAAATTCAACAGTGTAAATAAGTTTTGATGGATGCAATAATGGAATACTGATTGGTATAGTTCTTGTAAAATATGCAGGGATTTATGATATGTAAAATGAACCATGGAAAGAGAAGAAGGGAAGTCACTGATATCTTAAGGATGTAAAATGAGTATTTTAAATTGTAGAACAGAAAATTTAATAAAAATTATATATACATAAACGACGACTGCAGGGCCACAGATTCTCCACCTCTGCCTTACTGGATTCATACCCTAGTTGTTCATTGTTCACATCTCACACAGAGGAGTAAAACAAGAGTTTCCAACGAAATGGGATTTCCTCAAGATATTTTTGCCCATCTTAAAAGCATGCTCTGGGCAAGAAAATGAAGCTGTGGAGAGGCGGAAGTCCTTGTGCTGGCAGTGAGAAAGAGAGGGGGGAGAGGACGGAGGAGGAGGAGGAGTTTGGATTTGATATCCCACTTTGTCACTACCCGAAGGAGTCTCAAAGCGGCTAACAATCTCCTTTCCCTTCCTCCCCCACAATAAACACTCTGTGGGGTGAGTGGGGCTGAGAGACTTCAGAGAAGTGTGACTGGCCCAAGGTCACCCTGCAGCTGCACGTGGAGGAGCAGGGAATCGAACTCGGTTCACCAGATTACAAGTCCACTGCTCTTAACCACTACACCATGGAAGATACGGTACTAACCCGCTGCAGAAACTCTGTCCTCTCCTTCTTCTTGTTCCGACACCGAGCAGCTGCTACTTTGTTCTTCTCTCGGCGCCTTTTCCTCCTTTCTTCTTCTTCATCTAGCTAAAGGGAAAGGCACACCATTACAACCAGACAAAAGAAGCAGAAAAGGCAATGCAACAGCCTCCTTGAAAGAAGCTCAGGACAAAACCTCGGTACGCGCCTCTTGCATGGAGCTGTTTGGTTAAGTCCCAGTCCAGGCCTGCAGAACCCTAGCTATAAAACCACAAGGTTGTTCTCCCACAGGGTCCTCTTTTGATACCAGGTCACTGTAGTCTTCCCAGGATTATCTGTTAGGAAAACATTCTTCAAGAGACAGATAAAAGTTCCTGGAAGCTTCAAAGAAGGTTCCAGAGTTTTCTTTAGTGTGTGGGAGTAGCACTGTTGGCTTGACTGGCGTCAGCTGGAGGTGCAAATAAAGGGAGGAAGTTGCAAGCTGGACAAGGAAAGCACACACACACCCTGAGTTTACTGAGCTGGAAAGATAGAGAAGGCGTGTAAATAGTTTGTATATATTTGTAATATAGATGCTTGTGTGGCCAGTCAAGAAATAAAGACGCTCTTGACTGAGGACTTTGACTATGGCGACTGTTCTTGCCGTCTGCCTCCGGGGGAATTCTCTGCTATAAACAGTAAGACGAGGTTTTCTCAAGGTGGCACCACACAAGCAGAAAGCGCAGGCGAAGTGTGTGGGCGGTAACCTCCATTACTATTTGCCCTCCCTTCCCGGCTGTGTCAGTGCTTACTACTGCTGGCGCCTTTCAACCTCCTTTTGCCCCTCTGCTGCCCAACGCAGTCAAAATCCTTCATCACTTTCTGTATTACTGCATTTTTCTGCCAATTATCACCCTGACGTGTGGGGCAATCCCATTCACGTTCATGCAAAATCAGATCCCATGGAGTTCCCAGGTGCATGTGTATAGAATCGCAGCCTTGAGGCGCTTTGCCAAGATTGCAGCTTATAGTTGAGTCTGAGGTTTAATCTAGGAGGTGCACTGGCAGGAGCCAGCATAACATGTCCCACTAGTGCAGTGGGATTTGTCCCCCTCTTCCCTGAGTGTGCCCCCCCAAAATTGGCTCTGGAGTGTCTCAAGAACCCCCCAGGACAGCCCATGAGGGAGGAGGGGGGCAAATCCCATTTCATCGTTCTGTTGGGCAAGCTGACAGAATAAACAGAACAATGTTGAATTCCTCTCTCCAAGAGTGCTTTCACACGGAGGCATGCACGTAACACTGACCTACTGACCACAAAATATTTTTTTAGATGTTGCATAATTTTGAGTATTAGGGAAGGGATGGAGAACCTGTGGGCCTCCAGTTCCCATCTGCTTCAGCTACCATGACCCATGATCAGGGATGGAGGACCACAGATTCCCCATCCCTGGGTGAGAGTGCCCATATATTTGCAATTCGTTTTCATTTCAGTTTCAACATTGGTACTTGTTATGCCTACCAGTGTGGTTGCTCAAGAGCGAACAGGCAAGATCCCCACTGGTCTTTTCAAAGGCTTTATTATTGGTGCAAAAACATTTACAGCACAGAACGTCTCAATTCCATGTCTTGCTCAGTCACTAGCAGAATCAGAGAGTGGGCGGTCCTTAAACTTTCCCCAGCAGAGTAGTCTCTTGACCCCTATCCGACGCCTCCCCTCTCTGCACGTCAACCTACTGCTCAGAGAGGGCGTGGCTAAAGGGGGAACCTGCCTCCCCCCCGCTTTGCTCATGCATGGTGTCTTGGCTCTCTCTTGCATCCTCCGAGCCCTGCATCCCTTCCCCACTAGAGGCGGGGCTTCCCTCCTCCGCGGTGGAAGTGCTGCTTCTCATGATCTTTGGAGGCTCCCTGTAACCCAGCTGCCCTTCCGCCTCTCGCCTCTGAGCTGATGGCAGTTCCCTGACAGTACTTATAGCACTTGCTAATTCGTAAAGAAGTCTTAACCTCCGCTCCTGAACAAAACATCTATTTGGTATCCAAACTCTTGAGGAAAGAGCAAATTAATCTACCTTTTTTCCTCTGCTAATCAAAATAATCATAAATTACACTAACTGTAAAATAAATAATATTCATATTGTTTATTTTAAACTCTTTGCATCTCCAGCAGGCTAGTCCGAGCTTGCTGAATGGCATCAGTGAAGAGTGGCATCATCTGGGCTTCTTGTAGGCTTAGGGATGCTCTCTCCAGACCAGAGCATGGAGCCTTTAGGAACAACAGAAAGTATCCAAGGCTATCAAAAGATTAAGTGATTAAATTTAATTGGCTTAGAAGATAGATTAAATACAAACTACACCATTACCCAAATCCTCAATGCGTGTGCCATTTTGAGGATAACAGAAGAAATGAAAGCTCTCTTGAGGGTGAAAAAACTTATAGTTGCATAAATAAAAGCCATCACTAATTACTTGAAAGAAATACCAACCCTCATCTTTTTATAATAACTTACAGGTGTTAGTAGGGAGACTGGGGGTGGGGCTGAAACTAAAAAGACCACTAGCTTGACTAATTAATGGCTAAGCTTGACTAATAATGTAAGCCTATGCGCACTTACTTGTGAGTAAGTTCCACTGAATGCCGTAGGAATTACATACATGGGATTATTTACAGGGCCATTTTATTACAGTGGTACCTTGGGTTAAGAACTTAATTCATTCCGGAGGTCCGCTCTTAACCTGAAACTGTTCTTAACCTGAAGCACCACTTTAGCTAATGGGGCCTCCAGCTGCTGCTGCGCCGCTGCCACGCGATTTCTGTTCTCATCCTGAAGCAAAGTTCTTAACCCAAGGTACTATTTCTGGGTTAGCGGAGTCTGTAACCTGAAGCGTCTGTAACCCGAGGTACCACTGTATACACATCCTACTCTTCCTCCAAGAAGCTTATGGCAACATGCATGGTCCTCCCTCTCCCCTCTTTTGTCCTCAAAACAACCCTGTGGGGTAGGTTAGGGTGAGATATGCATGACTGGCTGAAGCTCATCAAGTGAATTTAATGGCTGAGAGGAATAGATAGGCCTGAAGCACATCTAAAGAACATGGGTCTCAATTGCTCAAGTTCAACCCACTAATCACTCTGCCATGCTGGTTCCCTCTAGAGCTATTCCAGTACTACTACCTTGCTGTCTGAGGAGTTAGTAGAGGTGGTGAGATTTGAATTGGGACTTCCAGGCTCACAGCTCATACTCTTGGCTGTGACATTAGCTCTTTAGTGATTAAGCATTTGTTGACCAATCTGACAGTTAATTGCAGAAAGCTGGTAGGATGGAACAATATTTCCTTAAAGCAGTTTTGCAATTTCTTGAGAAAGTGGCTGGCTATGTTTGGATGCAACACTAAACCATAAATCACAGTTAAGCAAATTAGGCTCTGCATGCAGCTCAAGCTCTTCTGCTTACTCTTCCCTTTCTCCAGAAGAGAAAGAAACCATGCCTGGCACCACATTATCTTCAAGCTAACCACAATCTGAAGCCAAGGTTTGTTCTTGGCTCCATGGTGGTGCTTTGCTGGAAGAAACAAAGGACAAGGGCCAATTAAGAGGCGGCACCAAGCCAGCCAATCCAGGGCTTGTTTCCCTGCTTGATCGATGGTTTGTTTCCCCACTCGACTTAGGGAGAAGTGAAGTGTGAACTGAATGCACAAGCCTGCTGCCTGGGCACACACTAATTTGCTTAGCCACAACTTCTGGCTTCTGAACGCAGCCAATGTATGGACCCAAACACACTGAACATGAAATGCAAGATTGTATTAAAGAGGTTCACAAGTACCTTTGGGACAAGCCCCCCCCCCCCACGTTCCCTGTGGCTTTTCATAGAAAATTAAAGCCACATTCATACCACACATTTAAAGCACTATGACACCACTTTAAACAGTCATGGCTTCCCTCAAAGAATTCTGGGGGCTGTAGTTTGCTAAGGGTACTGAGAGTTCTTAGGAGACCCCTATTCTCCTCCCAGAGCTACAATTCGCAGAGCTCTCTGGGAAGAGGGATTGATTGTTAAACCAACAAGTTCATTAATCAGTTGGTTGTTAGCAGGGAGTGGTAGTCAGATGAATGTAAGGTAGCCTTCCTAATGTTTATCCAGGATGGGGATAAGACGGAAATTGTAGCCAGGTTTCTGCAGCACGCAATGAGGATCCGTCAATGTTATACAAGAGTATTTTAAATGTTAGATGCCGATTTTGCCAAGTGATTTTATTGCACTGAACCTTTAGGAATTTTGTCTATATGCCAATAAAGGTTTGAGATTGAGATGAGTACAATTTAAAAAGTAAACACCATAAAATTCATAGCTTCCTATATAAAAAGAACAGTCAGTATAAAAACAGCAGTCAGTAGTGCCCCAGTTTCCAATGGCCGACACCTCCACAACAACAACAAAAAGGGAAAAAAGAAAGGTTCAACGAAACTAAAGGTGTGCAGCACACACACATGCCCAAAATCAGCAGCTATGTTTGTTTTCAAAGTTGTATTAGGGGCTAGAGTTACAGTTCATGGTAGCTGACTTATTCGATTCTCATTTTGGTGGGTGGGTGTGCAAAGGCCTGTGAACACTATTCCTTATGGACAACACAAAGGAATTAGCATACAGAAACAGCTGGCACCTGACAGGCCCTTTTTGAAACTCACCTCACTTTTCACTGGCTGGGGCCTCTTGCCCAGTTTAACCTCCAAGAAATGTAGTGGCGAAATCATGGCCCCGATGTTGCGAATGTCAGCATACTTCAGCTCTTCCGCTGTCAAGGTGGTACCAGGCAGCCCTGTCAAGGGGCCAAGGCCAGGCAGAGCGCCAGCTGTGAGGGATGGATCTGGAATCTGCCCGGGCATCATAGCAGGCTATGCAATCCCACAGCCTGGAGAAGAGAAAGAGAAAACCACACATCACTATGGGAATCTGAGCAATGATAATCCAAAAAGGCAAAACAAATCATTCTGAAATCTTAAGGAAAGAGAGTGTAGATGAGGAACATGATTTGTCTGTCTCTGCTTAAATATCTTGTGTCAGGAAATCCAAACTATACCACATTGGAATCCTTGTGCACAATGTGGCAGAGACATCTTCCTAGAATGTCACCCAGAGACTTTGGAGGAAAATCAAGGATAGAGAACCTTTGGCATTCCAAGTGTTGATGAACTACAACTCCCATCCTCCCTAGCCATTGGCCATGTTTGTTGGAGCTCATGGGAGTTGTAGTTCAGCAACATTTTGGAGGACCAAAGATTCCCCACCCCTGATTGAGAGGAACATGAAGAATTCCTACCTGCTTCACAGGGAAATAGCTACAAAAAGAAGACATTCTATCAAGGAGCCAGGTTGACCCAGATAATCTAACATGCAAAGTCATGATAATTAGATATTTGCATATGTTTACGTAAGGCGAGAAGCCTTTATCACTGCTAAGTAAAGGGTGAAGAAGGTCAGTGGACAGAAAAAGAGGTAATTATTGACTCCTATGCCAAAGGGCAATAAAAGAAGCTTTATGGAGTTAACGCTTTAACAGACAGGAGGCAATGATTATCTAATGCAGGACTCAGCAATAATTATGAGCTTAAGGAAGAAGGCAGAATGGCAAGAAAGAAGTTAGCCAGTTAGTTACACAGATTGCTTAAGACTAGGAAGTAGTGCCTCTAGATAAAACCTGTAAGACAAATGATCAACCTGAATGCAAATGGGCGTCACCACAGAAACAAACATCCTTCCCATATCCTATTTGGTTATGTTGCTGAGAGCAGCCCGCCACAGGAAGATTAGTGATAATTTCTCACAAAATACCACCTTAGATAACTTAGGCTAAAAACCTACAACGAAAACAGGAAGTAAAATAAAAATTAACTTCATGGCCAGGAATAGTGATTCTACGCGGAGACTGAAAAAAGCCACAAAGAATTCACCTGTGGTCACAATCTCCATATGAGAAAATGAAAGGGAACAACTAACTAACTTTCCACATGGAGTGAAAGTTAAGAAAAACAGAGTGATGTGTTTTCTTCTTTAGAGAGAAGAAAATTAGTCTGAAATTAAGATAAGAGGCCTGCTGACTGGCCGAATGCATCGCAGGATCTACTTGATAAAAATTAATTGCCATTAATACTATTTGATGTGACTGAGAATACATGCAACACTTTCTAAAGAACATAGAAGAGGTAAGAAAAGTCAAATTTTAAGGGTTGCCACTGGGCACTACATATAAATAACATTTCATAGAACCTCAGAACACCGGGCAGAATCCAGCAAAAAATTAAGCACAAAGCACACTGATATGTCATTAGTTTCAATACAGCTCAGGTCAACATACCTCCAGAGTTAAGTACACAAACAACACAATTCTGTTTACTGGAAATAATGAGCAACTAGGTACTTAAAAGATTTGGGGCACAGGCCCATAAAGTACAAAATTGCAAATGCCCGTTTAGAAATAATTACTGGAACTGAAATTTTCACAGAAGGCAAACCAAACCTGTCTATCCAATTAACCTCAAATCAAGTATTTTTTATCAATGAATTTTCAACCCTCCACCCCAAATCAGTAGCTCCTTTTCAATTACAATTTACAATGATTACAAACAGGTTTGAGAAAAATGCAGGGTGGATGATAGAAGTAATCAAAGCCTCTTCACAAACACGCTAGTCCAAAAATGGCTTTTAGGCCAAAATGGAGATTCAAAAAGTTTGACAGCACGCTAATCAAAGTTAAATAAGCCAAGGTCCAATCAGGGGGTTGGAGTCCAACCCTAATTAATCACTTACACAGATCCAACTCCAAAATTCAATCAATTCCCCTTCAGTTAATTACCCCCATTCAATCTTCATCAACCCTATTAATTAAATTCAAAATAAAACAAAGCAATTGTACAATTCTGTTTGGGCGGGGGATTTCTTACTCTGAGATGAGGCTCAAGATGGTAGCCACCAGGTGCTGGTGGTCTTTGTCATTTTTTTAAATAAATACCGTATTTTTCGCTCTATAAGACGCACCAGACCACAAGATGCACCTCGTTTTTGGAGGAGGAAAACAAGAAAAAAAATATTCTGAATCTCAGAAGCCAGAACAGCAAGAGGGATCGCTGCGCAGTGAAAGCAGCAATCCCTCTTGCTGTTCTGGCTTCTGGGATAGCTGTGCAGCCTGCATTCGCTCCATAAGACGCACACACATTTCCCCTTACTTTTTAGGAGGGGAAAAGTGAGTCTTATAGAGCAAAAAATACGGTAATTAACTGAAGTGTCAGTAAACAGACTATTTCCAGGGTCACGTAAGTTGTAAATTTTTGAGACTCACTTTCTTTCTATGCTTGTAAGGTGTTTTAAACATTGTTTTTAACATTGCATTTTCATTGTTGTAACGTGCCCTGCTGCTTTAGGATGGAGGGTGTGCAAATAAATAATAATAAGTTGATTAATTCACAGATAAATTAAAATCAATACTTTATTGACTAAAAAGCTGTTATCAGTCACTAGATCTAATGCAGCTGTCTCAGCGCAATTCTCTGCATTCACGTTCCAGGGTGTTCAAATACAGCTTGCTCCCAAGTACATGCAGGGGTGGCCCGGCCCGTTTTGCTGCCAAAGCCTCACTTTCCAGGGTCGTGCAACAGCAGCAGACTTCCTATGAGATCTCATGAGATCTTGCAGGATCTCACCAGGAGCTGCTGCCACCGTTTCGCCTCGCTTCTCCAGCAGCCACAGCAAGGGCACCCATGGGTGCGCTGTTCTGTGGGATTCTGCCTCTGCTCGCCTCATCGGTGAGCTGGTCCTGAGTTTAGGATTACAGTGGTACCTCAGGTTAAGAACTTAATTCGTTCAGAAGGTCCATTCTTAACATGAAAATGTTCTTAACCTGAGGTACCACTTTAGCTAATGGGGCCTCCCACTGCCGCTGCTGCACGATTTCGGTTCTCATCCTGAAGCAAAGTTCTTAACCTGAGGTACTATTTTTGGGTTAGCGGAGTCTGTAACCTGAAGCGTCTGTAACCCGATGTACCACTGTATAGCCTTGGCTTTTTTTTATCAACTGTGTTCATGATAAATACACTTTTGCCCTCTAGAAATCAGGCAATTACTGTACTAATTCTACAGACACCACCGTGGGTGTCATATTGCCGCCTTTCGTATTTTGGAATAATCTTTGTATTCCCCAGAACACAAAGTTGAGCGATTTTTGAAGGGTTTTTGGGGGGGAGAGGAGTTCTCCACTTCCCCACATTTGTGTTCTTGTAGCCTTTTAAAAAGAAATAAACAACTTGGGGAAACCTGCTACCTCTCTGATAGCAATGAAACTTGTCTTTATCCAGAATCGTGCAGGTGATCTCCTCCCTCCCCTGTGTGCTACTACATGCACAGTTTACAAACCCTGTCATTTCTCTCTCAACTCTGTATACAAGATGTGTGCTTCTTGTATGGGATAACAGCGGCCAGAATCTTAGTAGCAAGAAATTGGAAAAATACAGCAATACCTAACACGGCGGATTGGTAAATCCTAATGGTAGAATACCTGCAGCTAGCAAAGACGAGAGGAAGGATTAGAGGCCAAACAAAACAAATAGTCTATAAGGATTGGAGAATTTTTAAAGAATACTTTAAAAATTACGGTATAAAAGGAAACTTCTTGGCAGAATTAGACTGAACCTTGCATTGTATAAATATAAGTTTGTAGGGAAGTTAACAGAAACTATATAAGAAATATGTAACTGCGGTATAAGATAATCAACAGATAAAGTACAGCGAGACTACCGGTAATTGGAAGTCATTTTTAATTTCTTGTTTTACAAGTTTTACAATCGTTCCCATCGTTGGGAGTACAAAGGATGTTAGTTATCATAACTGTGTTGTTTCACATATTGCTACTGTCTGATTGTCAATTTATAGTTTGTTTGTTTGTTTGTTTGATTGATTGATTGTATGTTTGTTTGTTTGTCTGTTTGCTTTCCTGGCATAAATGTATCTATTTTAAAACAATAAAGATATATACATTCAACAACAACAAAAAGAGATGTGTGCTTCTGTGGTGGCTAAGCGCACATATAGGGCACAGACTGGATTAAGATGTTATGGGCTGGATACAGCTAGTGGGTCCTGCAAGCAAAAGCCCACACAAGGATTTTGCAACAGGGCTTTCCCCCAAATTCTCCTCCTCCTGCCCCCTGCCAAATTGGCAGGGCGAGGTAGGTGGGTTAGAAAACCCCAGAACAGTAGCTGTGGGGACGGTGGGAGAGGGCAGAAGGCAGGGATGTTGACAGTAGGTGGAGCCAGAACCAATGGCAAGCAGACCTAAACACAAAGACAGGCAAAGTCAACTAATTCTGGTTCAAAAGGGCTCATTCGGATTTCCTTTTGCGCTGTTTTCCAGGCACAGGTACGCACTCTAAAGCTGTGTGTCCAAGCGTGTGGTTTTTTTTGTTGTCGTTTCCTGATGCTTTCCCTGGGAAAATCCACGTTTTACCGCTGAATCAGAGCAAATGGCAATCCATGGGAAACCCTACTGCTGTTTGCTTCGATTTAGCAGTGAAACGCTGCTTTTCCCAGGGAAGTCACCAAGCCGAAAATCGGATTCAGAGCTTTAACGTGCAGGCCTGTGCCTAAAAACAAAGGGAAGTCTGGATGGGCCCTCATTTGACTAGTTTTGCCCCAATCCTCCTCTCAGCCGAGTTCTACAAAAGCAACATGGGGGCCAAGGAGGCAAGGTGGACGGGGGTTGGCTGAGCTTGGTGGGGCAGTGCCCCACTTGCCCAACAGGCCCTTCTCCATTGAGGAGTCTTCCTTTATGCTCCCTCAGGACAGAACTCTGCAGTTTTACGCTTAGCATTCTGGGAAATGCCTGGGAAAAATGAGATGCCACGTTAGCGAAATCAGGAGATATGATTTGCAGTAAGCTGACCTTTCCACTAGAAAGTAAGGCGAGGTGAGAAAATGCTGTACTTGAATTCTGGGCCTGTTCAAAACTCCTTAGACACATTGTTAACATTTCACGTTCCTTACAGAGAAACTTGCACAAATGGGGGGGGGGGGATGAATATGACCAGGGTCTCAGCTACATTAGTCAAAAACAGTGTTTTGAATGAGTTATAAACATGTAACACCAGATGGTGCTGGAGAGCAAAAAATATATATCTGTGGTTTTCCATAGCGTGTTTTTATCTTTTGTTATAATGATTTAATTTCTGACTTATTTATAGTGGGCTTTTCCTGTGTGTAGACCCACCCCAGGTTTCAGGGCATCTTTGTAATCTGCCTAGCAACATCAAGCCCTTAATTAATTATGTGGTAAAACACGGAAGGGGGCTGGAATGCATGTGCGACTCTTTCCTCCCAGCTGAAATGCAGGGCCTGCTTCCTGTAGAGGGAAACTGAGAATCTTGATTCGCCTCAGATGTCTGTTCACTTCCGCTAGGTTGGCAAGAGCAACACACACACACACACACACACACACACACACACACACACAGAGTATCTCACAACCTGCCATACTGGCAATTTTAAATAACTAAAAAGAAATTAAAATGTGTGGGGAAAAGAAAATCTGGCCATAAAGGTGGTCCAGAGTAAATTCATAGTACATTGCTTCTGCCATATGGTAGGCAGTTATTAAGATTAGCCCACTTACATCTTGGTTTGTATAGCATGAAGCCTGCTAAGGACAGTAGGAAAGTGTCATATATCAGGCCAGACTTGATATATTGCCTGATTGTGACCGGCAACAGCTCTCTAGGATCTGAAGGAAAAAGGAAGATCTTTCACGTCACCTGCTAGTCAGGGCCAGCTCAATACATTTTGTCACCTGAGGCAAATCACAAAATGGCGCCCCTGTCCCTGCCAGGGAAGAAGCAGTAAGTGAAGAGCTACATAGGGAACAAGGAGGGAATAAAAATCAACATCAGGATCTGCTGTCCCTGTGGATTCTGCCGCCTGAGGTGGTTCCCTCACCATGCCTCATGGGTGGGTCAGCTCTGCTGCCAGCCGATCCTTTTAAAGGTGATGCCCCGGATTGGAGATGGTTTCTCCTAAAAGCAAGGCATGTGCTCTACCACATATTCAGTGACAAAGCACCTTCTTTGCATGCAAAAGGTCTCAAAAGTTTAATCTCCAGGTAGGATTGGGAAAGATTCGTCTGAAAACTTGGAGAACGACTGCCAGTCAGTGTTGACAATATGGAACTAGATGGACTCTGTATAAGAGCAGCTTTCTACGCAATCCCTATGGGATGGCAGCTGATTTAAAGCACATCTGAAGCCTGCCTGTGCTTTTCTTACCAAAACTGCCTTTTAAAACCTCTTCATGAGGCCCTGGATTCCAGAATGCATTCCTGCTGTGGAAATGCCATTTTAAAAAGTGGTTTTGAATGGAAATACAGAGGCGGGTTCACCTCATGCCTTCCTTTCAGTTGTGTCCCTCTCCACCTTTACAGCAATCTGGCAGCAGATTCCTTTCTGACACATGGACCTGTGGCTGTCATGTCTATTTTGGCCCCAAGAGGATCAACACACACACCTCTGATAGAAAAGCCCATTTTGGAGGCAACAAGTCTTTTAATAGAGTATTGCCCACAAATAGAATCACCTGGAGGCAGAAAAATACGAGTATCCCCTTTCCAGGTTAGAATTTATTCTGGAAGTGAACGGTAACTTTTCCAGTGTGAGAGGAGGAAATTTTCATTTAAATACAGTGGTACCTTGGGTTAAGTACTTAATTCGTTCCGGAGGTCCGTACTTAACCTGAAAGTGTTCTTAACCTGAAGCACCACTTTAGCTAATGGGGCCTCCAGCTGCTGCTGCGCCACCAGAGCACGATTTCTATTCTCATCCTGAAGCAAAGTTTTTAACCTGAGGTATTATTTCTGGGTTAGTGGAGTTTGTAACCTGAAGCGTATGTAACCTGAAGCGTATGTAACCTGAAGTACCACTGTACTCTCATATATATATTTTTTAATGGCCTCTATTATTGTTGAATTATTAATGGTATTTTTATGCCACCCTTTCTCATAACTGAGCTCAGGGCAGATGGAACCTCAGAACCTCTAAGTCGCCTAAGTTTCAGAACAGATTTTGTTGCTCACCTTGCCAACTCAGGCCTAATTCATACTTACCTGGGCTGAAGAACCTGTCGCCCTCTAGATGAAAGTTGGGGGTCCAAAATCATCTGGATGGCCACAGGCTCCCCCATGCCTTCTGTAGAACATTTTCACACATTGGGGCAGCAAGCACACATTCCCACTATTGGAGCACATGCATGATCTCCCTCACCCCTCTTCTCTATTGGAAGAGAGAATGGTTGCACAAAATGTCTGAAGCCACCAGAACCAGCCCTCCACATTGGCCAGGTCTATGTGTACAATGGAGGGGAGAACATGCCTGCCTGCAAAGAGGTAAGTGAGTGTTCTTCAAATTGGGGTCCTCAGCTGTTGTTGGACTACAACTCCCATCATCCCTAGCTAGCTGGACCAGTGGTCAGGGATGATGGGAGTTGTAGTCCAACAACAGTGCGGACCCAAGTTTGAGAAATATTGATAGACCTTAGTTTACTTTTCGGTGTTCATCAACCGCTTTCTACCTCATCTGCATCCAAAGAAGGAGACCCTTGCCTACCAAGCTTCATGCCAAATAAATTTGGGGCTGGCTCAGAGGTTTTCTGTTCACTGCTAAGGCAGAGGGTGGATACTTATAGCAGATTAGGAGGTGGAGCCAATATTCACTCCAAGGTTTACAGGCCTCAGACCCAGCTGCGACATAAGGAAATGTACAGAAAGCCACCAGGTTTCAGATCCTACCACCATTGCTGCCATGACATACAAGACCTTAATGAAGTCTTCTTGCCTACAGGAGTTCTCCAAGGCCGTTCCTTGTATCTACAGCACGGCCAGCATTGCACGATGTCCTTATCAGACATCTTCCCAGGCTCCCTAAACCCTCACAAGGTCTCACTGCCAACACCTGGAACCTCCTAGTCTTCCTTGCTGTGGTTGCCTGTTCATCTGGCATCTCCAAGAATGAAAGCAGTGACAAGAGTGAGGCAACTGGAACAACAACAGTCTCCTCTTTTCTACTTTCCCGGCCTCTGGAAGGGCCTAGTTGGAGGGCAGCGGTGATACTGGCAAGAAGGAAGCATCTGGGGACATTTCCCTAAGAGACATCCAAACCCTGGAGCCAAAAGTAATGTAGAGGACGTTTCTTCAAGGCCTTTTAGTTAAATGGTTGGAAACAAGTTACTTCTAGGCTTACTTGACTGATGAAGTTGAACACATTAACAGAAGAACACAACATTTTGGAGGTCCCAGGTCGCAAGGTGGTTAGATTGGTCTCAACTAGGGCCAGGGCCTTTTCAGTACTGGCCCCGACTTGGTGGAACACTCTGTCACAAGAGACTAGAGCCCTGCGGGGCTTGCCATCTTTCCGCACGGCCTACAAGACAGAGCTGTTCCTCCCGGCCTTTGGCTTGGACTCAGTCTGACCCTTATGTTGCCCTCCCCTTATGGTCTTGATCTATCGGCTACTTTTAAAATGAGGCTGCATTTTAAATTGCATTTTAACCTGTATTTTAAATTGGTTTATTTCTTCTTCTTCTTCTCCTCCCCCCCCTTATTGTTTTTACTGTGATTTTATTGGTGTTAGCCGCCCTGAGCCCAGCTCTGGCTGAGGAGGGCGGGGTATAAATAAAATTTATTATTATTATTATTAGATCAGGCCAATGGCCCATCTAATCCAGCATCCTGTTCTCACAGTGGCCAACCAGATGCCTGTGGGAAGCAGGATCTGAGCACAAGAGCACTCTCCCCTCCTGTGGTTTCCAGCAACTGGTATTCAGAAGCATTACTGCATTATTGCCCAGCCCAGCCACCATAGCTAGTTGCCATCAATCACCTTCTTCTGTCTAATCCTCTTTTAAAGCCATCTAAGTTGGTGGCCATGACTGGCTCCTGCAGAAGCGAGTTCCATAGTTTAACCACGTGCTGTGTCAAGAAGTACTTTCTCGCATCTGCCTTGAAACTTCCAACGTTCAGCATCATTATTTCAACACCAGCAAATATACGAGCTCAGCCTAGGATGCCAGCAAAGGAGGGAGGAGGACAAAATCCTAGGGGTGGGGTTGGGGGGAGCACCAGGTGTCTTCTGCAGGCAGTGCCATCTTACTTGGGCTAAGACCATTGTGATGCAGACCATACTGCAATGAGGAAGTTGCAAGCATTTGTGAAAGGGATGAGATATTCCCTGCAGGCAACAGCAGCATAAAATGTCAGAGGTTACAGGGCAAAAGGCAGCCAATTTGCATTTCATTTCTCCAGGAATTTCGTTAAACCCTCCAGTGCACGCCAAGTAATCCCCAGACAGCCAACTGTTGCCCCTCGCAAAAAAATAAAAGGGCGGATTTGGACTGCAAGCCCTATGTCCTGTCTCCCCCACCCACGCAAATGGGCATTTTAAACTGTCAGGAACTACACAAAGAATCTGACATCCTAACAACTGGTATCCCAGACGCCCCCACAGGCTTGCTGAGTCCCAGTGGAGATCTCTGGCAAAAGCCTGCAGATAATTTTCATGCAGGCTTCAAGAAACAAGTTGAAAAATTCCTAGCCTGACTCAGTGAAGCATTTGTCTCTGCTAAGCTCTCCAAGCCCCAACACACACACGCACACACTGAGAGAGTTTGGCAGTGGTTGTGTTCCAGGGCTGGTAATACAAGCCATGAAGCAAGCTGCCAAGACAAGCAACAGAATGAGCCAGGCCCCATTTCATTGGCCACCATACGTTGCATATGGCCCTGGAACCAGCCAAGAGAGTGTTCTCACCCACCTTGAGGGCATAGGAGACCCTGTGTTTTCAAATACACCTCCACAGGGCCTTCATTAAAAGGAAAATGGAAACATAATGTGGCTCTTGCTTGCTCTTTTCTTTCTCTCTCTCTCTCTTGGTATTTCTCCTTCCTCTCAATTTGATCTCCAACCTATTTCTCTACAACCAGAGGCAGAGAGTGGAGAAAAGAGATTGCTGCTGTATAGAGTGGAGCAGAGGATTGTGGCTTGAATTCCCACTTTATGCCCGACTGCTAAAGCTAGCTGAAGACTGCCTCTGCTTGCTTAAGACTCAAGAGATTCCTTTCCTTTGCAGGTTTAAGAGAACTGGAAGAAGAAGGAACATCCATTGACTAAGCACATTTGCAACACCTGGGTAGCAAAACTACAAGAGCTCAGACGGAGCGGAGATCAGTTCCTTTTGCATTATCACATTGCGCAGACCAATGAAGTGAAGAGGAAAACAAGCTGTCTGCAGAAGAGAACCATGTTGCAAAACAGAATGAAAATCCCTTGGTCCCAGTCATCAACAAAAAAACATACTGCAGTACTTAAGAGAGCCTCCCTCCAACCTGGTGCCCTCCAGATGGAACGACTGCACTCCCATCCTCTGACTATTGGCCATACTGGTCTGAGACGGATGGGAGCTGGAAGTCCAAGTCACCAGGCTGGGGAAGGTTGTCCTAAGCCAAAATTATGCACTTGTTATTATTATTTGCCATTTGTGGATCTGGGCCATATATTCATCTCAATGCATTCATCTCCATAATCATCAGCAAGACTGCTCTATGTGCATAAAAACCTTGCTGACTCAGAATCTCCTTTAAAGTGTAAGAAACAATTTCCTGGGTCATATCAAAAGGCCCATCTAGTTCATTCAGTTTTTCTGTAGCAGGCAGTGAAACACTGACACAAAAAATTGGCTGTCCCAGGAAGATGTGCCTCATGCAAGTCTGCAAAACCATAACCTATATGCCCTCCTTAACATGCCAGAGAAGGCGTGGCTAAAGTAACAGACGTGCCCAAAGCAGTGAAACTTGCAAGCTTGAGAAATTGCTTTTGTAGCTCCTCTAGGCAGCGCCTAATCCTACTGCCTCAGATTAAGTAACAGCGGGGCATCCAAGGATGGCCCAGTCCCAGAGGCGAAACATCTACTCGCACTATCCATTCAGCTTCACACAGATAGGCAAGTAGAGGGGGATGGCAGGAGCCGGTAATAGGAACACACAACAACAGCGACAACAGAACTGTACAGGAGAGCAGGTACCTCTACCTTGTTCCTTATTATATGGTCAGTGTACATGACTTACCCTTCCCTATCTGCAGCCCCCTGGGCAAATTCAACATGCTCATTGTTTGAAGTCTTTCCCATACTGTTGTGGGAACAGAAAAGCCTCCACCAAGCCCATCAAAACTGTCCGCACTCGTGTCTGTTTTCCCTGCCTGTTGTAGCCAGCCTACAGAGCCCACCTTTATTGAAGGCTCCTGGGGAAACTGCTGGGGGAGTGAGGGCCTTGTGGGCTTCTCTGGCATCTCAGTAAAGCGTGTGGCTGGGGACAGGGAACACAAAACAGAGCAAAAAATGGAAAGGAAGGAGAGAGGTGAGAGATGTGGGGATGCAGAGGGGTGGGGAAAGAGGAGGGGCAGCAAAAGGTGACAGCAAATAAACTCTGGTTGTGCAGAATAAGAGAGGGTTCCCCACATTAAGGGTGCAAAAGAGACAGGGGAGACAAAAAGGGATTAACAGCAAATATGTTAAAAATAAAACAAAAATCTGTTTTTCTACAGTGTGGCTGTCTTCACTTAGTTAACATCAAGCAGCTCTTGAAGTAACCCAGGTTGCACCCACCAGTCACCTCTGACCTGGGGCACCTTATGCATGCACGTGCACATGATCAAGCATGCACACCCACACACCCCATGCCCCCTTCTTGCAGCATACTCTAATCCAGGGATGAGGAGGTTTGATCCTCCACAGACTGGGCTACAGCACCCTTCATCCCTGGGCACTGACCACACTGGCTGGGGCTGATAAGACTTGGAGTCAAACAACATGTGATTCTTAATCTCTGGGTTATGGGTTCGAGCCCCATATTGGGCAAAGATTCCTGCACTGCAGAGGGTTGGACTAGATGACCCTCGTGGTCCCTTCCAACTCTACAATTCAATACAACGTGTGGAGGGCCAGTTTCCCTAGCCATGCTCCAGTCCAGCCTTTCCCAACCTGGTACCCTCCATACATTTTGGACCACAACTCCCATCATCTGGAGGGCTCCGGGTTGGGAAAGCCTGCTCCAATCTACCTACTGATTATTTTAAGATCCTCCTACATAGGCCTTGGTGCATCAAGTTTTATTAGTCTACCTTCAGGCCCTTTTCCAGCCCAAGATTCTGGGTCACAATGAGGTGCTAGGAGAGCACCCAAAGGAGAAGCCAGCAAGGGAGAAAACTTCCGACGGATCCTTGCGGTTCCTACACAAACATCCATGCTGTAATAACTCCGCATCAATTAATCCAGAGTAACTACAGCCCCGCGGTTCTGCCTTCAATCCCGAAAGCCATCAGATCATGTTACAATAATTCCCCAATTCCCCCACAGAATGCCCTGGAGCTGCAAGGAAGTCCCGCTCTTTAGTTACCCGGACTATCAGGGCAGGACGGCCAAAGGCAGCGGTAAGGCTCGCGCAATCCGGTAACGAAAGGACCCCGGCCGATGCGTAAAGGGCTGCGATCCCCGGGAGAAGCTTGCGCTCCACGCGCGCGCTGCGTTCCGGAGCAGAGGCAGGCCCAGCCGGATCAGCCCCAAGTCAGGTCCGAGGATGATCGCAGCCCTCGCGTGCGGCCAGCCCGGAGCACCGCCTCCGAGAGAGAGCTCCCGCGGTCCCGACCCCCCGCGCCCGCCCGCCCGCCTCATCTCCGTACCCACCGAGCTGACGGCAAAGGTGCCCCCGGGGCCCGGCTGCAGCGGGAGGCGGGTTGCGCGCTCAGCTCCCCTGCAGCCGCCCAGCTCCGGGAGCGGCTGTCGGCCTGTCTCTGCAGGCCCGTCGTGCCGAGCGCAGTCCGGTCCCGGGAGGTGTCTCCGCGGCCCCGGGGACGCCTGGGCGGCTGCAGCCCCCGCCGCCGTCACTGCCAGTCGACTCTCTCCCTCGCCGTCCCTCCCGCAGGCTCTGTCGGACGGCTGGGTGGGTTGCATCAGCCCCAGTTATATAGCGGCCCCTGGGCTGCGGGGAGGGGTCGGGAATGCGGAACCGGCCGGGCTGCCAGCTCCAGACGTCAAGGTGGGAGGAGAAGAGGGGACCGCAGAGGAGGAGAGCGCAGGCCGGGGGGGCGGGACCACTTGCACGGGCAACGCGCGGAGGATCGCTCGCCTGTTCCCGCCGCCTCCGACTTTCCTCCTTGCAGAAGACAAGAGGCCGGAATGGATCTCAGCCCCGGAAACCCTTTTCAGAGCCGGGGATCAGCGGCGCAAACGCAAGCCAAGGCATACATCATGCGAGTGGGCGACTCTGGGCATGTGCAGAATGCCTGCCTGCAACTTTTCGTTGCGTAACATAGCTGGGGAAAGGCGGCGAGAGGGCTTCCAGGTCAGAGGGCGTGACTTCCAGGCGGGCTTCAACCCCAGGATCTCCTTCCCTTTTTTTTTAGAAAGAAAGCGCGGGGCTGGGGAAGGGGCGCCCGGGGAGCTTCACCAGTGGCTCATGGTGATGATGCAGCGCAAGTCTTGGTCTTCATGGTATGGATGACAGCACGGTGGTGGTTCGCCATCCAACCAGAAAGCACAACACGCAATTTTGAGCGCCAATGTGATGCCACGAGACACGCGCAGCCAAGATATATGTCCTACAGGGCATGTCCGAAGCAAGATGCTACACAGATCAGGGATAGGGAACCTGTCGTCGTCCATCTATTGTTGGATGGCAACTGCCATCAGCACCTGCCAGTAGGTCAATGGTCAGGGATGATGGGAATTGTAGTCCAATGTCTGAACAGCCAGAGGTTCCGTACCCTGTTATAGATTATCCAGAGGTTAGCCTCACGGTGTGCTTGATAGCAAATAAATCAGGAATCTGCAGTTGTTTTTTAAAAAAGTTTTTGTTGAGTTTTAAACAAATAACTAACATGTTATGTGAACAACCATGTAAAAGTTGAATATAGGAATCTGCAGTTCTGGTTCCATGTCTAGGCTAGTGGTAGGTCCCTGGACCTTTCAACACACTTTTAATATTGAACAGTCTACATGCATTAGGGGACTTGCAATGCGTTTAAATTTATGGTGACTTATCTCAAGAGCAAGCCTGCTGAATCAGGGCAAAGGCCCATCTTGGCCAGTCTCCTGTTCTCACAGTGGCCAACCAAATGCTGTGGAGCTCCTCACAATCCCTTGTAGTTTTAACCACCTTGAAGAACTTGGTATCATCAGTAAACTTGGCTGCCTCACTGCTCACCCTTAACTCTAGATCATTAATGAACAAGTTAAGAAGCATGGATCCAATAATGATCCTTGGGAGACTCTACTTTCTGCCAGCCATTAGGAGAACAGTCTATTTATTTGTTGAGAGCCAGTGTGGTGTAGTGGTTAAGAGTGATAAACTCATAATCTGGTGAACCGGGTTCGCGTCTCCGCTCCTCCACATGCAGCTGCTGGGTGACCTTGGGCCAGTCACACTTCTCTGAAGTCTCTCAGCCTCACTCACCTCACAGAGTGTTTGCTGTGGGGGAGGAAGGGAAAGGAGATTGTTAGCTGTTTTGAGACTCCTTCGGGTAGTGATAAAGCCGGATATCAAATCCAAACTCTTCTTCTTCTTAAACTTATTCAGTATATTCAGTAGTACTCAAGAGAACAGGATGCTGGAGGTACTTTAGCAGAAGCATTTTGAATGCCTGTGGGCTTCCCCAGACAGCCTGCCTACTGAGCATTCATACTGACTTGCTTGCACAAAGCTTACACAAAGATTAGACTATGGTGAGTCTTTATGGAGCATTTGTTCTGATTTGTTTGTGGGCCAGTTACACAATAACCAACATTCATCCTAATTTGCTTGTGTGGTGTTTGTGCATCTTCCCATTAATCATTCATCCACCCCACAGCTTTCAATGCATTTCCTTGTCACTTTCCTAGTTGTAAAAGGCAATTTTTAAAAAAGTGGATTGCACACATTTAAATTTCTGGTATGCACTTGAATCCCTCCCCCAAAATGCTAGCATTCTAGAGGAAACCTAAGTACACATAGTCAACTGGATCACCTCTATATGTTTGTTAACACTCTAAAAAAAACACCAAACAACCCTCTCCTCTAAGGCTAAAAAACCCCTCAAAAAGATTAGTGAGACAAAACTTACCCTTGCAGAAAGCACGCTGGTTCTGCTTCAGCAAGACTTATTCTTCTGCGTGTTTGGTAATCCTTTAACAATGCTTTCCACTAGTTTACCCAGAACAGTTATTAAGATAACTGGCCTGTAATTTCCCGGACTCCCCCTGGATTCCTTTTTAAAAATTGGTGTTATATTGGCCACTTTCCAGTCCTCAGGTACTCACCTATCTTGCCTCATTCCTGTCTAGTTTAAGTGATTTCCCCCCTTCACTCTATTTCCAAGTACAGTGGTACCTCAGGTTAAGAACTTAATTCGTTCTGGAGGTCTGTTGTTAACCTGAAACTGTTCTTAACCTGAGGTACCACTTTAGCTAATGGGGCCTCCTGCTGCCGCTGTGCGATTTCTGTTCTCATCCTGAAGTAACGTTCTTAACCCGAGGTACTACTTCTGGGTTAGCGGAGTCTGTAACCTGAAGCATTTGTAACCCGAGGTACCACTGTATATATACCACACTGAATGTCAGCAATGGTCCCCTGGCAAACATGACAGAAAATATTCCATGTGCACAACCCATCTTTGGACCTTCTAGTGAGAAGAGTTCAGGAAGTTAACACAGGCAGCTGTTCCTATGTCATAAACTTGATTGGTTTGTGTACTTGAGGCTTGAAACCCTCAACAAAAAAGCAAGCTCTGTATCTCTCTGGTGCCTCCTCAGGGCACATTTTAAACATCTATTGTTTGGGCCAGTTTTCAGTAGCTAGGCCTAGACAAGCATGGGGAATTTTGTTTTATTTTAGAAGAGCACTTTCTGTGTGGGTGTAAATATGCAAAGGACAGATTATATTTGAGATGCATTTATCTCCATTCACCAGGGAAGTGTGCAGCTAGGCTCCATCAACAGACACTGCAGGCCCAGTGTTTACATTTTTATTCAGGATCAGGATATAGGTATCATGATTAAAAATGCAGCCTCAGCAAAAATTATTTGTTAAAATGAATTTCTTATTTGAGAAAAAAAATTAGACAAAACACATAAATAACCATTTCAGAACATTTGAGGGCCAATCCTCTTCCTAATAAATTGTGCATTGGATTGCACCTTAACATTTCAAAAATATAAAACATATATACATTTTTAAAATGACATAGAGAGACTTAACGAAAAAAGACAGTGGAAATCAGGAATCTATTTATACAGAATGGGAAACAAATGCACATATAGGTTAGTTAATCCCTTCGTTCTGTAGCTTTTAGCCTGAATATAATCCCCTTTCCCAAATCGCCTTTCAAATGAAGCAAGACACACCCCAGTCATATGCATATTCCATAAGCCATCTTGCTGAAAATTGCATAAATATTCTGTATTTCTACGGGTGTGTGATCTGCAGCCTTCGTTTGTTTGCACGATGGTCAAAGAGCATGCTCTCTATCCTAGGAGCAGAATAAGGCTGCAGCGTGAGAGGAAAAGGCCAGTTAGGCAATGGGAAATTGAAAGAGATAGGCACTCATTTAGGGCCAGGATCAGAAAATCATGCAAATACTTGTTAAGATCAGAACTTGAGCAGATGCTTAACAGATAATGCTTGGGGGGGGGGGATATCTTGCGGCTGAATGTTACAAATTGTGGAATGGGGTCATATCAGTCCCCTTCGAACCCACCTCCACTGCCATCTTGCCCTTGCCAGCAATCATTGGCGGCTGGGCCATTGGAGCTAATGGGCTACTGCCTCACCAACCTCTGCCCTCAGCCCCACCTCCCTGCCTTTTAACTTAAAACCAATCCATGGGGTGGCCCTGGCTGCTAGCCTCCTCTGTCTCTAAGAAGATGGGGAGAAAACTAGAGTTGGCTCTGTCTGTCATTGGCTCTGGTTCCATGTAATGTGGAGCTATCTCCCATCATACCAGCCCCAATGGGCACCTACAATAGTACAGTAATGGGGCCAGACTACTCCAAAGTTCAACAAGGAAGTACTATTTAAAAAATAAAAATATATACTTGACTGTATTCCCCTTATTTTCAGTATCATTCTAAATGATAAGGGGAGTGGTTGAGAGTATCTTTGGCATCCATTTCTGAAGGGATGGGGCTCTCCAGATGTTGGATGTCAACTCCCATCAGCTCCAGACCAATGGTCAGGGATGATGGGAGTTGTGATCCAACAACATCTGGAGGGTCAGAGGTTCCCTTTTCCTGCCTTACTGAGTGTTGTTTTTAGCTCCCACATCTTTAGCTCATTCTCTGCTGGGACAGGAAGCTCTCCTTCCCAGTTCAGGTTTTGGTTTATGCAAACATGAAAGAAACACGGCGATTTTATGGGCATCGTTCTGTTTGGTTTAAAAGAGTAGGAAGGATCCATCAATTACCCAACATTTCACCAGCAGGCGAAACTTTACTGAAAGGCAACATCAATGAAAGGGTGGGAAATTGGAGGGCAAACAAACTATTCCTTTGGAAAGAAAAGTCCGTGATTGCAGTGGCTGCATTTATACCGACTGACAAAGAAAAATTACCATTTGCCCAAGGTCAAACCAATTGGGAATAGTCAGGAGTTTCAATGCGTGAACAACAGGCTGGGAGTGGGACAAAAGCTCTCTTCCATAAAATATCACCAAAAGCAAAATTTTACCGACTTTTTCTTCTCCAATGTTGTTATTATTAAATGCATTTTTGTTTTGTCTGGATGACAAAAAGCTTAAGTGGTGGTGGTGGAGTGAGATGAAACGTCCTGAAGAAATAAAAAGATATAATGAATGTATGAAGATCCTATTTATTATTGGGGAAAGTGCTTATGGGAGACGAGGGAGAATATTAAAATAGGCAGTAAGCGCTAGGAATAATTCATTCGTACACATTTGAATTGTAGTAAATTCCATTGAACA